TTTTCTACCCCACCTACCTAATTCGGTCTTACGCCTGAAGGCGGTATTGTACTGTATTGTTAGTTCCTGCCAGAATCTTCGAGCATGGACTCATCCAATCCGAGCTATTTGCCCCGGTTCAAAACAGACACCAGCCACATACTAGCCTGCAGTCATTAGGTAAGCCCCAGAAGATGCTCCCTACGAGCTACACAGGCGATTCCGCGGTGTTCAGGACCGTATATGGAGGCAGAACGCAGTTCGTGTAAGCCTTCCTTCCTACTACAATTGCAGAGATTTACAATACCCGGCAAATTTATCCGAATGCTGCGAGTTTCGAACTAAAGCTATCCTGCATCAGTATCAGAGATTACTGCCAATGTTCCATTAATGACATGCCTCTTCCTTAAGCTGCTACGCTGGAATCAGTGCCCAAGATTACTGTGATAATATTGAATTCGGAGTTTGAATGAGTCAAAATTGTGGCACAGGAACTGACGTTATTTTGTATTTGATGTCGCCCCACCTTTCTTTCCCGGCAGAATATCCGTAGGCGATTGCTATATGGACTCTCTACCTAGCTAGACCTTAGTAGTAGCTGTGGTGGTATTTAAAGGGCAGGAAGTCCAGATAGGAATTTCTCCTTGGAGAAAAGCCGCGCTGAAAGATCTCAAATTGCCAGGTCATTGCAATTACACGTAAACTTACACGGAAGATCATTTTTTAAGGTAAATATAAATCTGCTTGACCAGGTGTGTGGACTTACACTCTATGTGGGTACGTAGGATGTAGTCTATCCAAAAGAGCTGGAGACTACTATCTGTGGCTCACCGATTCTGTAAGGTGCATACATCTGAAGATAAAATGTTAGACAAGGGGCAGCGGTGAGCAGAGAAACAAGTAGAAGAACCAGATGTCCGAACTAAGTGAATAAATACTGTGCCGCATGCATAGGCCTGGACATCCAAATGTAGCCTTGGCTATATGCCTGAGTTTGACGTGGTAACAGGGCGTGGAATTGATCTGCTGGCTCCATATCCATGGCGTTGCCGCTGAGGGTCAGTTGAAGCTACGCGGAATGGAAACCCCAAAAGGGCCTGGCTTGTATTTCTGCAAGCCAGAAGATATGATCTGGATGAACGGCAGTCTCCGTACAATATAAGCAAATTTCATAACTGGCAAATTCCGATGTACTAACCCTTTTCACCGCAGAGACCACGAGGATTCATACTGTAGAAGGAAGTTCCCGATATACCAAGCCCTATCAACCGTTATATAACCCCCCCGCTCCTTGACCGTGTTCTTGGCTATCCTCTTATTCATCCATAGAGCTACAGATCGCAGCACTGACGTTATCCATGTCTCATAATACACCATATTACTCATGCACGTCATCATTCTATCATAAACAGCAGTACATGGAGATTTGGGCGTGAATTGCAAGGTCAAATTTACTTTAGCATCTGTCATAACGGGGATCAATGATACGGATCTACGAAAAGGGCCGGAATCATGACCGCATCAAGTATAATTGGACTATGCCTTTGCGAAAGACCTCCAATATATTCAGTGTGGCAAAGGACCTACTAAAACGAATTGACAGCCTTCAGCTGATGTTGTAGAGAGCTCCTTCACGATTGATTTTCTCTATTCCCACAGACAAGGGATGAGGGCTGAGGTCTTGATCTTCGTCCGACCTGAAAGTGTGGTCGGTTCTCTGACAAGGATAGGGAAACCCTCTTCCACCGGTGCCTCAATGAACAAAGCACTGAGCCAGCATTCTCATATACACACGCGAGAGAATGGCAGCAGTTAGCGTTGTCGTCGAGGAAGCCACTGAGGACATTGGCGCCTCCGATCTGCCCCATGGGAATAGCCTCCACGAAGAGACACAAAGGGGACGGCTGGCCTTTCTACCTGAGATAGCCTTTTTCCTGCTCACGTTAGCGAAGCCTTCTCAGTTAATGTATAACCTCTTTCAACGACTGCGTCAGTGCTCTAGCTGAAGCTGGTTCGACCGACTCATCGATACTAGCATGATACTTATGATCAGCCCATCTCCTGTTAATCATTCAGCTACTTGCCAGACGCCGTATTTCCACTACGTTGGCTTGGAAATCCCAACTATGATAATTACCATTGATTAAGCGTCATTCTCAGCATCTTTGATTTTCATTATATTCATTTCATAGCCGTCCGTCATCCTCCTTCATACTTCGGCCTAACAGCACTTCACCGTACATTATGTCTCTCATATATACTTATCGTTTCCTTCTGAGTCTTGGGACAATAGCACATTCTGCCACAATGTTCTTCTCTCGGAGTCCCGATAGAAGCGAACTACCAAGGCAACCGGTTGCTTGAACCCAGAGGCGCATCATGTTTACAATATCGCAAATACCCCTTCATACACCAACGCCAATGCCCATAGGCAGACAGGAGCTCTTAAATAGAAGAGCAAAGACGACATATGGTTGGCGCTGTGGAGCAACCTTCGAACCAAAGAGAGCCAAATCATGTTGTTATAGAAGGAGAGAACGCAAGACTTGGGAATGAAGGCGTGATGATGTAACAATCACTGCCAACATCTGGGCGGAAAGTGACTCCGACAAAGACGCAGCTGTCCTGATCCAACTTCAGTACGGCCCAAGTGGGGTCGGGGGTGTACTATATAACTAACCGGAATCTGATGCCTGATGTGCCCGTTGTCCTATTCTATTCCTTGAACGCCTTGCTTCGCGTTATGGGGCCGTACTTTCCAAATCGGTCTATACGGGGCACAGATAAAGCGGGCTTTTCAAGGACGATATGAAGATGCGAAAGGACCTGCCACGGCTAGAATAGAAGAAGAGGATGAGCTCGGATTGTGACAATCTGAGCGGTCTGGAGGGGACACATCTGTATTCCAATGATTACCCTCTGAGATTATTACCAATTCAGTGATGATTGGAATGACTACTTTAGTGCTCGGAGGTCTCTTGCATCTACCGCCCGTGAAGGACATTGCGCTTTTCTTGTACTGGTGGCAGGATTTCCGTATAAGTCCTTTGATGGGAAACAATCACAGCATTGTTATGCAGTAGCCATGAAGCAACCATCTTTAAGGTCTGCCCAGTGCTGTACTGGAGGATAGTTATAGTCCAGATTCAGGTGGAAGGGCTCTGTGAACACCACACACACCCGGGGGTGGTTCGCTAGACCAACCGATTTGCTCTTGTCATGTCGATGGAAGGTTCCATAAAGCGACTCCTCCATCTTCCTACATCAGTAGCAACACAGTCATGATTTACTTTATCAAAGATGCTCGACTTGAAAACTTGTTATCAACATCTTAAGGACTGATGATATCTGGGACCATACATGGGGTTGGAAGATGACGAAAATTATAGAGATCCACGCGATTATCACTCTAGGTACATTCGAGCTTAGGGAAATAATTTGCAAGCAGAGGAAATGGGTTCATAGATTAATAGTATGCATGATCGCGAAACTGCCTGTACTGGCTAACGATAGTGCAGATATGCCCTTGTATCGCATGAACGGCGAATAACTTAAATCTAAAATTGGAGTTTTAATCAATATGCAATAAGGAAGGGTGTCAATGTCATAGCGTTTTTTTATTTCCCCTCTCATTTTCTCATTTTCGCCGTACCACTAGACCTATCGTTTGTCAACATATTTTCGCTCCCCGCCCTCGTCATCGTTTGAGTTCGTATGGAGAACCAAAATAGATCAACAGATTGAAGAGAATCAAAAACAGCCTAGGTACATTATACACCTTTAGGATAACTGCGACCGATAGCTCCAATGATTCAATAGAACCGAATACATATAGCATGTAAAAGTATCACCAAGAGACATAGAACCAACCCATTCGCATCCCTACCGGAGATTTATCTATACCTCGGAAGATAACCTTGGAACCGATCTCGGCTAAGTGGGTCGGTCCGAGCTCGGACCTCGTGGGTTTCCATCCAGTGGGCCCGGAGACTTTAAATCCACGAGCAGACCTAAAAGCAATATTGTGCTGAAATTTCTGATATCTCCGATCATCCCGACACCTTCCTTCAGAGTCTTCATGAGTGAAAAGTCTTATTCTTTTGGCGACCGGCAGGGCTGGCCGGTGGGTCGGATCCAGATGAACTACTACTAGGTAGCAGTCATTCCATTGGACCTCCTGTAAGCGCGCTCAGACCCAATCAGGGTTCGACGCGACGACGAACAAGAAAGCAAAAACGACCAATCAAGCCAATAACAAGCTGTTGCATGAATAGTCAGTAACTGACGTGTCTAGGCACAGGGCAACTGCCTTGGACACATACAAGGCACTGGGCTCACTAGCCACATCGGCTTCACCGCCACGTATGCCTCGATTTTTCCCCCCGTGAGATGGTTCTGGGTTTTCTAATGGGGTCCAGCAGTTCCCAAGTCTTTTTGTGAGGTTTTACGGTGTGTAGCATACGTGGCTCAGGTGCATTGAACCGCCAGTACATTAAACTCCCACACAATTCTCAGGGACACTAAGTATGCATATACTCTATCGGTCGGCGGGAGGAGCATATACCCGACCGATTCTGGAACCCGGCTGGCAAAAGTTGCACACGTAGATGCAGACTTTATGTCACTCGAATAATTCCGATCATTTATAAAACAATGGGTATTATAACAAAGCCACCGCAGATTAAAGGCCCCGTCTTAGTATACCTATACAACAAAACAAGAATAACCACAGATGCCCGGAATGTGTAAGCTAAAATATATAGTTGGAAGCACCAAAAAGAAAAGCAATAGATAGAATAGGTCATCGAGATTTGGAAAACGCAAAAACGACACAGGTAACTGTCAAATGAAAATCTCGCTTAGCAAAGGACATAAGCAGGACGCTTTGCTAGAATAGATGGGTCCGCGACTGATGCCCCGTGAGGTTGTCCTTCCGATTGAACGTCTGATCGCAGATCTCACACACATGGGAAGCAGGAAACACATGAATGGTCTTTATGTGTCTGCTCAAGTCTGCCCATCTACTGAAGGTTGATCTGGCCGTGCAATTCACCCAGCCGCACTGGAGAGGGGTATTTCTGCTTGCTTGTCAGCTGGACGCATTACTGACTTTTAATGGAGTGCCAGGAGAGTCAACATACCCTTCCACAGGACTGTTGTCTGGTCGGTTCAACGGTGTCATTACTTCTAGAACGGCGAAGTTATTCCATGGAATAGCTTCCTGTTGTACATTGTTGCAGTGAAGGTGGTCCCGAGGCGCGATATCTGGCTGAACGGCGGGAACGAAATCCCAATTCTCCACGGCATTCGGCATATTGTACCTGCTTCCAACATTCCATGTATTCTGGAACGGAAGTCCGAGGAAGCGACCACCATTCAGACACCTCGGGTCGATGTGTGTCTGGGCCTGGTGATGAGGAGGTAGAGCAGCTTGGTTCAAGAAATCGCCTGAAGGAGCGATATTGAAGGAGGTAGAACTTGGAGCGCGTGGAATCATCTCAATGATACGATTTCCATTGTTGTCCGTTGGCCTTGCGGTCTGTCGAGTGGCAGTATGAGAAGCGTTTAGGTAAGCCGACATCGTGGAAGATGTCAACAAGACAGCTTATCGGGTTGCAGGGTCGAGATTGTGTGGACAGGAGTATTAAGAGATGGAGTAGGCGGTAAAGAATTAGAAATATCGTCAGTGAGTAGAAAAAAGGCAATAATTTGATTTTTGGGAGAGACCATGAGGAAGGATTTTATATCTTTACTCAGTCAAGAGGGCTCAAGAAGCCATTACTTAGTTGAACATTGAGTGAGTGACCCGGATGGATATGCCAGAATAGGGATTGCGGCCAATGACGCGGTTGCACTGCCACAAGGGGGGTGGGTCTCGACATTCATCCTATCACAGTGTACACACAGACCCGAATGATCGTTCCAGCAGCCCAAGCTTATGTTGCTGTGCCTTTTGGATGGGAGTATGATCTCATGGGTAAAATAGGTTCCTGACGAAAATCCTTGACACCTAGTAAGCAGCATGCGACCGTCTCCTCCACAGCGCCTGAATTAGCCCAAGGCGGCAAGTCTCATCACAACAAACAAGAAGCGAACTAAATCAAAGATCTCATCCGATACACATGGGAATTTCGCCATGTTCATTTTCCACATTGGTATTGTCAGTAAATTCGCACCTAACTGCAGGGATTCAGTATATTTTCTTCGCAGTTCGCGGAGAGTGCGCGATTTGGGGGTTTTGCGGGGGTGGAACCATATTAGATAGAAAGCTGGCCGGACATAAGTAAGTGCACGTCAAAAGTGAAAAGAAAAGGTGGGTCTCTGCCTGGTGGTTAAGGCAGGTAACTGACCCCGACTGAATGATACTAGCAGTACTTACCGGAAGGCGCTTGAATCAGGTCAGGCGGAAATGCGATTGTCGGGCTTGTCCGTTAATTTTAGCCTACGGAAAGTAGTTTAGCTCACCGATTCTGCGGCGATATGACCTTCTGACTGGGGTCTAGAATCACAGATTCGTTTTCATAATATCATGTCATTGTGATCCCGCAAGTCTATTGGAACCACTTGGTGCACATTGGATCCATTACGAACAGTACTCTGCATCACGTGTCAAGTCTAACCACGACCAAGTACATGGCAAGGGGAACAGCAGATGCAAGAGCAGATATACATGCAGGATAACCGATCCATTTCTTTATCATCACAAGAAGTATAGTTTTAGCGTAGACATAATAACCCCAATGTTGTTCATCCAAGGCATTCGTATTCTAACGCATACACTTCTAGCATAAAAGATGGGCCCGAAGATGAAGGAAGAAGGGCTACCGCCAAGCCAGCCTTTCCTCATGCCAGCCGGACCCTGTCGCCTACCTTGGAAGGTAACTACGTTAACTAAGATTTGTTGCCCTGAAAACAAGGCTGGGAGTTTTGAGCCGGCAGAATCTCACCGCCTATATAAATCAAAGACTATAGTTCCAACTTGAGGAGGCGGTAACTCTGGCATTTCAGGCAGCAATTTGATGCCTCGGGCAGCAAGGTGTCTCTGTCATAAAGGCGGTGGGTCTCCCCTTTACGTAGTAAAAACAAGCCTTAGCTCCAACTGAAGGGTGCATCGCCTGCCCAAGAGGTATAATGCCCACAACTTAACGAAATACAGAACGAAGACCAGGGAATATTTATTAGCGTATGATCGATAAGATCTGCTGGAACCACTGTGCCGGGGAAATATTATGAGACAGATCAAAGAGAATCATGTGGTGATGCAAAGTCTGACCGTATCATATCATATTTTACTGGATAGTACTTCATGGCTCATTTGCCATGTGAGTTTCACATACCTTAAAATCATTCAGAAACTTAATAAGCTTTATATTCAAACACCAAGCTTTATCCTTGTGAGCTTTTATTCACATCATGCCATTTCATGATCTAGATATAAACATGAATCACCATTTTCAATGCCATAAAAGTCGAGGATATTCCATACTTTATAGTATCAATCCCTACTCCTCCTCCATTTTCATATGATCCGCATAAAGCCCTTTCTGCTTCTTCGTATTATACTGCACCTCCCCCTCATAGATCCAATACGCCGGGGGCTCCTGACCCAGACTCCCCGGTCCACAAGATGGATACTTGAGGATGGCCGGTACACCAACCACCTCCTCGCCCGTATTAGCCACCAGCCGATCACCACAATGTTCGATGTGGTCATAGGCCGCCGTATAACTATCCAACACCCCCAGGTTTCCGGCGTGAACTGCCCGCGCCATACGCCGCCACATGAAGGCACAATGTGTCACATGGTACCAATGGTCGACATAAACGTATTCCCAGTCACCGTCAAGCACCTCAGACTTAGAGAGATGATGCTTGCCCCATGGGTCTGTAGTCCAGGTCCAGTTCCTCACAGCGAGGAACTCCTCGGTCAACTCCTTGTCGTAGCAGGCTGGGCGTACCCAGCTCATGGCTACAAGATCTAGTACGCAGCCGAGGGATCGGGCCTCAGCTGGGGAGGTGCCACATTGTAGTTCGGTGATCTTGTGTGGTGTTGATTTTGGAAAGAAGGGGGAGGTCGGAGAAGGAGAGGAGGAAGAAGAAGAAGAAGAAGGTGATGATGATGATGAAGGAATGGCGAATGTGGGCACGCGGTATCCCAGCAGGGCAAAGAGGCCACCGAGAAAGGAGGCTGCCACGACTAAGAGAGTGAGAGCGACAATTTTTGACAGTGCTATAGTTTTGCTGGTTTCCCTGGGGTATATAGGCAGGGATCTAGTATCTTGCGTGGCGGTGATTCCCCCCTCCTCCTCTTCTTTCAGTAGACTGTAAGACATGTTTGGATTGGAAGCGAGGATGTCCGTGTGTAAAATGCGACCTTCTTCTTGCTATAAATGACCATTCGCTGCTAAGGAATATGGTGTCTGCTCCCGTTTTGCGGTTCAGGCAAGGTGCAACTCAAGGGGCAAAGGCAATGATTTCTCTCTTTTCTCTCCATATGGGATCGACAAGAATATATAACTGATTCGCCACTTTGCCGGGTCAAAGAGAAATCAATTGCATTACGCCAGCAAATGGAAAAATAATATGACAACAGCAAGGGAAAGAAGCAAAAAGAAGGCAACAGAGAAAGGGATAAGAAGCGGGAAGGGGGAGAAGGTGAAGATCAGCACAACTCCGTACTCCGCCTGTCCAACTCTTTCACAGATCTCCAAAGCCCACTAGGAGAAGGAATCATCCTTTTAAGTTTTGCGTTGCTTTTTCCCTGTCCCTACGTATGGCAAGTGACAGTTCACTCACCAGCTCTGACTTGACAAGTATAGTGAATCACCACTTGTGTTGAGTGGGAGATGTCTGATCTTGACGTAATATAGATTCCCGGCATAGTGGCTGCAGAGTGCAGACAGATAATGGAGATTTGTAGGAGTTTTGGCCAAGCGGGAAATAGAAGCGCAGGTACCCTTCAATCTCGCATCCGGCGGTGTGGAGTGATTACAACTCCCGCGTTGCGGCTAGCTCGGCGAGAAATACTCCAGATCAACCACTATTGTTAATAGGTAATGGGCAGGCCATACCAAATGTAGTATGTGGGGCTTCCCACATCTTGATCATGATCAAGCAAAGTGGGTCAATATTAGGGTGAAGATCCGGCAAATCGCTCGGTTACTTGATCACCGGTTCAGCTATTTAGATCGTCTCAAGTGTTTATTCCTTTTCGTCATACGCTAATTAGAGTTTACTCAAACCTTATCAGGACACCTCATACGCCTAGAATCGATAGTAATAGCAAGGTGGAAAAATATTCCGTGGATCCACACACATAGATTGAGCGACCTTGCGCCTGGACGTTTTAAACATGGTCCATGATTCCCATTCTAATAGTATTGCCGATATTTGGGGCTTCTCGAATCGCCGGGGGTTTCAATTGAGGATGTATGGGGGTTTGTCAAATATCAATAGTCCAATGTAACTAATAATGCATAGCGCTGTGAAATATTGAACTTAGAGATCCGAGAGAAACTCGTCCACAGTGGGCGCAGAGGTGAGTAAATAGCGTTTAGAGAATGCATAAATAGGAAGAAAGGTTTTCCAAGAAAGCAGACTTCTCAACAGGCTCAGCAAGTCCTTTGACTCTCTCGATCTTGTGTTTCCGAGAATCCAGCTCAGATACTTTTGATTTCTCGACTCGATCGGCCCATCATCCCACATTGTCCTCTATTATCCCAATCCAACCAATACGATGCATTTCAACAACGTTGGACTCCTGGCCACGGTCGTCCTGGCCTCCACAGCTTCAGCGCTGCCCCGCATGCCGCGTATGTTCACCCTGCTCGCGCATCGTAGTAGCGAGATTTCGTGCTTGATTTGCTAACTGGTTACGACTTGTTCAATTAGACAATGGCGCGGTAGCTGCTGCCGCTGGGGGCTTGGATCCATCCCAAAAGAGCGGAAATCTTATTCAGAGATCGGAGGAGCAGACGACAGCGAGCCAAGACAACGCTGCTTTTTTGTTCAGTGTTGATGACGGTGAAGATAGTGATGATGAGGGCGATAACGGTTCCACTACTCGTCATTATCACGTGTCTAATCATGACAATGGCAACGATCTGATGCAAAGATCAGAGGAGAAGACAGCGAGTCAAGACAACGCTGATTTTTTGGTCAATCTTGGGGACGAGACAGACAATGATACAGACTATGAGTATGATAGTGGCCAGCTTACGCGTGTCAAAAACCATGGGAAACGAAGCCTTAAGCAGAGATCAGAGGCAGGGACGGCTACCCTCAACAATGAGGACCTTATGTACAGTGCTACTGGCGATGAGGGGTTTCCCAATCCCCGCGCCCCCTGGAGAGGTGGCAAAACGGAGAGATCAGAGGCAAACGCGGCTAGCGAAGACGGGGCTGATAGGGAGGTTCCACATGCTCCGGCTTTCAATTGGCCCAAGAGTGCTAGCCAAGGTTTTGGCGGTGTTACGCACAGATCATAGGAGGAGACGGCGAGCAAAGACAACGCTGATTTTTGGGGACCCGGATGGGGATCTTAATATGGTGGATATGGTGACCATGGCGATTTCAACGGGCGAAACGACTACTAGTAGTAGATAGCTGGGAACAATATCTTGTTGGTTGTCGGTTAGAGAACACGATCGATAACAGGAGGCAGTATGGAGTTTACAATATAGGCGTGTAGCTCGTTCTTTCAAGAATTCTTCTATTCATGGCGTACGGTATTACACCATTCTGACATTATGATACTATCGGATCATATCTTGGTTCTGATTGATAGGCGATCACTAATTGTATATAATGTGGAGTTGTGAAATGATGTAGATGTGTCGACTTAACTCATCATGGTTCAGGCATTGTCTGTGATAGCTTTGTGCAAGAACTTGGGGGGAGCTATGCGTTTACTAAACAATAAGTTTTATGTGAATGTCTAGAAAATACCTAATTTGTAGTGGCAAGATGTATGATCATGTATCTATTGTCATGGTTTTTGTATCTGGACCTATTCTGTGTTTTTCTGTTTGAAAGTTTTCCAATCATGAGTGCATTGATAGTTAAACCGTTATGAACTGCATCGGTGTCCTTAGTATTATGTTCAACAGATGCTGTATTTTGTAGAGTAGATCGCTTGAGTTGTCAGAAACCATCAAAGTTAGACCCTTAGGCAAAGGTAGTGCCAGAAACCCCAATGCTGCCTGCTGTGGCTTATATATATATATACATATTAGTCTCATCTCCATACCACTGCATTGACATGCGAACGATGGACCTTCGTGTTCTTCGCCCAGATAGATAGTGTCTCGCATCGTAGAAACCCATATATGCCATGGCAGATGAAGATCATGTGGCTTGGCGAATGTCGGCAAGTTTTCCCTAACCTTAAATGGTGTACCACACTCGGGAAGAACCTTCAACGGAGGAGCGGGCACGCCGCCATACATCCCGTAGTCTTTCCATATGATCTTATTCTAGTCAGTTCACAATTTGCCTCCCGGCACCCCAACCTCCTGGGAAAGTCGGTATTTATCTCAAGCAGCGGTGATTTACGGCTTGTTCCATGGTGCTGTCTCTGCCGAAGCAGACACTGATTGGAAGCCATTGGTGGAATCCTCTTGGATATACTAGTTCAGAGAATGGTTGTTGGTTGTTTCAGAGACGATCGGGTCAATGCAAGCACCAGATATAATGATGACCGACGCAGGAAGAGTTTTGATGCATCCTGTTGCTGTTTGTCACCCGTGATATATTAACAGACAAATATGTGGATTATACAGAATGATTCTTCCGGCAAGCGATATTGCGCGAAGTCATTCTTCCTGTTAGCTGTCTTCTCGCCATCCACGATACGCTTTTATGAATGATCAAGACAATTTTCCTCCTTGAGCGTTCCAAACAGCCAAAGATTGTTCTAGGTCTATAGAATGCGCGCTCATATAGAATATTCGCACATCTTTGATATGATCATCAACCACCAGACAGCACTGTGATTGCAAAGAGAAGATAATTAGCAAACTCCTCTCCTTCCAGGAATGGGTTAAGATCTAATGTGCTGCTGATCACACCTAGAAAAGTGCCACTCTGGCTGGGAATAAAACGTCGTTACATGAGTGGATTCGTTGAAGTCCGATCATGATGAGTGATTGATGGGAATCAGTGACAATAGTGATATCAGTCGAGCCAGGGCATGCACAGTAATCAATGTTCTGGAGCGGATAGACATGGCATAAATTTGACAATCCCAATTCGAAAAATTACTATTACGCCAGGGTAGCAGTTTGAGAGGCATGTTCCAGGGCGAAGAGGCACAACTTGGCATTTAATGTGTCAGGTTTCCGTGAAAAAGCGAAAGATCTCAAAATTTTGCAGCCTTCCACGAGTATGGTGGAAGAAATCGGATGAGAGGACAATATTGGCGGGCACCTGAGATCTGGCGATCGAATCTGGAGTGGACAGACAATTGGACCGTCCGGGGTTGACGGCGGGTGCCCTGCGGGAGAGATATTGCGGACCCACAAGTTTGGCGCATACAGGGGATACGATGGTCTGTACTCTGTAATCACGAGATTGATAACATCGGGAAGAGGGCTTCCAAATGGGTATACAATGCAACTTATTGCATATTTCTCTTATGTCTCACTCTTTCTTCAAACTCCGACCCTTGATCGCACCCGATACAGAAGGGCAAGGAACTCATAGTTGAAGCAATGCATGAAAAGGGTACCAGATGAGACCAACCACAACGGATATACATATCGGGTCTTCTCATAGAAGGGCAGTAGTGATTTGCATTTCCATCCGTGGAATGGAAAGCCGCAAATAATGTTATAGAGCAAACTAGAGATGGGCCCAGCTGGGACTAGCCAGTCCACCCATTAGGCGTGGTGTCGAGATATTCGTACAGGAATCGGCAAGGCCATGCATCATAGGAGCTGTATCAACTTATTACTTCCATCATGCACTGGTGTTCATGGGTTCTAGATAGAAGTTAGGGCCTGGCGTACTGCCCTCCCTTTATGTACCATGTTCTTGGTGAGCTTGCTGGTAGAGTAATTTCTTTCGAGCGGATATTGTCTGGTATTTATATTATTCGTAGTAAAAGGAGCTTGATCGGGGCTTTCCTATCTTTTGTGAATATCTCTTATTTCCAGACCTGAGTCTCCGGGACCTCACTCTGTCCTAATAACGGAGACTTCCGAATTCAAGGCCAATTTAATAGCCAGAGAGGGAAATGTTGCTATCCATGTCAGCCGCTTATTACCACATACATGCGCTAATTGCTTCGCTACTTTGCGATTTAGATGTAGGTAGCATTCCAAAGACATCAATCGGGACGCTCAGAGAAAATTGACAGCATTGACGTGAATTCCTCTATTCTACAAAGGAAATGAAGACAAGAATATTTGACGCCTGAGGTTGTCAATGCATGGTGACTCAAACGTGGTGAACACTGCTTGTCTGCACCCTTGCACAACCTTTCGTCTGTGACTTCCGTTCTAGCTGAATTTGCGTGTGTATATCTGCAATCGGTGTCTGTCGACATTCCCAGAGTATAGCGCACGCACATTACGTATGTACCACATGCAAGTAATTGACCTTTCACAGTGTAACAGTTGGCGGTCTCATAAGTTCTTCTGTCCTTCAATGGCCCGACACTACAAAGTTTTCAGGTTTGAAAATTACAATGTGTATTAGTCGGCTCTCATATGTTGGGGCGGGGGGAAAGAGTTCTAATTATTGGTGTCGTAGTTTTTTATTCCTAATGTTTTACACATAGCTGCTCTGCGAGAGTGAGCGAATTCACTATCTGGCTGTGTTTTGTCCGGTATGTGCGATACTTTCATTCCACGATCACTTCTAGAAACAGTGACAAGAAAGGGCACCATCGCGAATTTCTTGTAAAGTCCAATCGAATTGTCAAGTAGTCGATTTAAATTGGTGGCCTATGAAGGCTATATACTGTGCATTCTGTGAGCCGAGGAAACGCAGGCATCTCGGAAATATTGCTAGCTGTGGTTTCACCCGACAGTCAGTTCCTTTGCGATACCTAGCCAGGCCGGCTAGTGGCTCAGGACCAGTGATTACGTTCACAATGAGCTTTTGACGGCAGTCAACGGTGACCATATAGCCCGAATGACCTTTGTGAATACAGTATATCCCATTCATAACACCTCGTACTTGGAGAAGTCGCCGGACTGGCGCTTGTTAGTCGATGTCGCATTATTGAAGTTCACAACAAAGTCCACGTCAACAGACGCTGTAGCCAACTCGGAGACATCTCAACATCACCCCTGCTACCCGGGGCTATTACAGCGGCTACGTGCTTGACATTGGAGGTGACCAGCAACTATTCTGGCAGTGGTGATTAATCCCCATATGAGATGTACTGATCACATGATCAAAATAGGTGACAGACGGGGCAGGTTTTCGGTCCACTTTGCGGAACCCTGCAGATCCCAAATGGCAGGCAAGGCGTCAAGAGCTTTGGGAATATTGTCGAACTTTGTTCGTGAATACACCCCTTTCAAATACTCGCTGAAGAAAGCTCTGTGCTCGGGATCCACGCTATCCGCTGCTGCAATGAAACATGACCACACAAATCCATGAGCGCCCGGCTCCGTAGGGCTCATCTGACAAAGAAGCTGGCGTAGCTCCTCCAAAACAAGCCACGAGCTTTGGTTCGTCGTTGCACGTTGAAGATATATCTGTGCGCCTTTTGAGAAGACTTGTTTCACGAGCGACAATGTTCTGTGATGGTGCGAATCAGCATTCACTCTCGAAGCCATCCAGACACTTGGGTCGACAGGGTTTCTAAGTCTCTCGGCGCCTAGGTTCTCATTCAGAAGTGGCTGTCCGAGGAACGCAAACATGTCCGTCTGCTTTGTGAGAAAATCTCTCAGCTCGGTATTTCCGACAGATTTCATGTTTTGGGCCAGAGTGAGGAGAGTCCGTAACAGGTGGCTATACTCAGAGCTGCCGGTAACGGTTTCCCCAACAAGTAGGACAATCAGAGTTGCCCAAGTCGATGAATTGAATACTAGGTCGGGTGATCCAAGCAGAGAATCACGTCGTAATCGAGAGATTATTGCGGACCGGCTGGACTCGGTTGCCGCTCGACACGAGGGGTGTCGGGAGCCAAGATGTTGCGCGGCAACAACAGCAACAGCCTGCTGTAGAAGGCTATCTTCGAAAGCCATGGGAAGAATGATGTCCCGGTAGCCATTCGATATATCGAGGACAACCATGACAGGAGCGACATATCTAGCGAAATAGTCGAAGGATTCGCGGGTTCTGTGATCGACCGGTGCGATCCACTGGCCGACAGCCATCTCCATTACTGAGGGCTGGTCGTCATTATATAGTGCATGACTAACCACCACTTGTGCTGAGCCAGAGACAATGTCCCGACTCCCAGCAGACATTGACTGTGCATGGTCTGTGCCTCTAATGACCGAACCCCCCTCTACGGCCAATCCATTCCGGTTCGGCTCCTTCCCGCTATTTCGAGGCTTCTGCTTTTTGTTGACTCTTATCCGATCGTCCTTCCACCGAATAGGACGAGGGGTATTTGAGGCTTCTTGGTATACCGATTGGGGGTCGACATCAGGTATCGGGATCGTGCAGCCTTTTAGTCTTCCCCGAGTCGCCAGGCCGGGGCTGAAGCGAAAGCGACCCGATCCTGAGCATTCAATCCCTTTCTTCTGGCATTTGAAGCAGGTAGGTTCCCCTCTGTCGCAGACAATCCGGCGCTTCGAGCATTGAAAGCATCCTAGGAAGCAAAAAGGGTTTAGTCATGATCTGCTCGCATGGGACAGAACTGGGCATACCTCGCGACTGGGAGTTACTACCGGAGTCCGTCGCGACCATGGGGACCCGGTTGTCGATTACCAAGGCATGAACGCCATGCAAGTATGCGCGGATATTAGCTGCTGGTGGCGCTATCCGATAGTGGGCTGATATGAGGAGGGTTGTGGGAACTTCAAGGACGCTGAAATGAACTCCGCGGATGTCCGATGGCCGCCCGGAGCGGAGCGGGTCTTTCCCTTCCGAGGTTCCCCGCACGTGTTTGCCTCCCAATGCGGTATCAGCCCTTTTTTCTTCACGGCATCTCCGTCCATGCTATACACTGCAGGGACTGAGAAGGAGTTCCCTTATCGCACAGTTAATTAATGACTCTGCAGTGTGAGCTAGTTTGGTAATAGTCTTTCGAAAAGTCGCATATTAGCAACACCGGGCTGTTCTTGTTCGGACACGCCCCACCACGTGATCTGACAGCTATTCCGATAATCCGCCGATCTGAGCTTGACAGCATCAAGCATGAAGCCATCTCCCCCTCTCGGTTGTCTCCAATGCTTGGCCTCCCTTGTACCCGGTCATGGGCCTGTCAGGTGTCAATTGTGGGTTTCGGGACCACAGCACGCATGTCAATGTCAAACGGAGAACCGTCTCGGATGCCAAGCAGCTGATACATGTCTCGAGGCAGGACTCTATTCCCATCCCCCTGATGACCGTCATTGGTCGTGTTCAAATGGAAACCAAAATGAAGGGAGTTATGTGTGCCTCAGATTCGACACAATGGCCTTGTCGGATGACAATCGCCGTGTGCTGCACTGGTCAACATTTCTCCGGGCGCTAATGTCCTGAGGGTTATCCCCGAGATGATGCCCGATACAATTACTCAAGACTCGGTAACTCTATTACAGGAGGGGAAAAGCGCAACACGATCACACCGACTGCACGAAGCAATCCCTAACTACTGCAATATATTCCAATTTATCTTCTGTTCAATCCTCAACCTTTGACCCCTCCCCTGCGGACTCCGACGCACACCTTGCGTCTTATCTGCTGTGGGCCTGGCTTCGCACCAATCCAGGGCCAGTGCTGACGCAACGCTCCCTATCAGCAATATCGGTACCGGGCCCACACGGCGCTATTGTTCCTAGCGATCGAGTGGGAAGCCAGGTCTCGTCGCTATCAGGCAGCACTATACAGGCCCGCCTTGTCTTGTCAACCACTCGCATCGCGTCATTGCTAGCCGCCACTCCGGAAGCTGCGAGCTTTGCTGGTCGACAACAGCGACATTCTGCAATCCAGCGTATGTCTCTCATTTCTGCAGGTTTAATTGTAGCTAGATTGATGGTCTAGTCCGACTACCGGATGTAATTTCCCAACCCTATATAATGTCCCGAACGCACCCCTCTTCTGCATGGGCTTTCTCTCCTGTCAGTCAAGCAATCATTTAGATCACTTCTCATTCAACTGCCGCCATGTATATCCCCATCGGTACCTTGACCACTGCCTCGCTCCTTGTCGGGGCTGCTCTGGCTGCACCCACCCCCTCCCCGCTCAAGGCAAGAAACATCGTCCGCAGAAGCGGCAGCCACACCATTTACAAGCCCACTCCATTCACCGCTCCTAGTCAATACAAGGCCGCCTCCAAGTACCTCGAGCTGAGCAAGACCAAGTCCAAGGGGAACGTGAACCCTCGTAGCGCTGCGTATGTCACGCGCTCCACCAGCAGTGGCAGCTCCACCTTGATCTCCCTCTTCGAAGGCGAGGAGTTCGCTACCTCAATCACTATTGGTGATGATTCTTTTGACGTTATCGTCGACACCGGTTCCAGTGATACCTGGGTCGTCAAGACGGGCTTCACATGTATTGACCTCGACACCGGCCGCGAGACCTCCGAGTCGAGCTGCGCCTTTGGCTCCACCTGGACTGTGGAGAGCTCCTTCGTGGAAATCGAGGGAGAAGAATTCGCTATCGAGTATGGCGATGGTGAGTACCTCTATGGAGTGATGGGTAACGAAACCGTCACTCTTGCCGATATCACTGTGGACCAAACCATCGGCGTGGTCACTGAGGCCGCCTGGGAGGGCGACGGAACCACCTCTGGCCTGACTGGTCTTGCGTACCCTGCCCTGTATGTTCCTACCCTTGTCACTTATGCACAAATAGGCATCTAACGTCTACTAGTACGAGCGCCTACTCCACAAAGACCGGCGAGCAAGTCGTCTACAGCAACATCATCACCACCATGTGGGAGGAGGGACTGATTGAACCTTATTTCAGTCTGGCCATTGAGCGCGATGTCTCCGGTGCCGCCGGCTATCTCGCTCTGGGTGGTCTGCCTCCTGTTGACTTTGTCGAAGACTTCACCAACACCTCCATCCTGGTCACCAACATTGAAGGCTACTCCAAGACCTACGACTTCTACACCATCAACATTGACGCCGTCACTCTGAACGGCAAGAGCTTGACCAGCGCTGGTGGCGACGACATCCAGTACATCGTACGTTGCTCACACCCTCCCCTATTTATCCCACTCTAACCAATGCAGGTCGACTCTGGCACCACCCTGAACTACTTGCCCACTTCCATCTCTCAGGAGATCAACGCCGCTTTCTCTCCTGCGGCGACTTACTCCGACGACGAGGGCGCCTACATTGTTGACTGCGACGCCACCCCTCCCACTCACGGCATCACCATCAACGGCAAAACCTTCTACATCAACCCCCTCGACATGATCCTCGATGCTGGCACCGACGACGAGGGCAACACCGTCTGCATCACCGGTATCGTTGACGGTGGCAGCGACACCTCCGAAGATCTCTACATTCTGGGCGACACCTTCCAGAAGAACGTCGTCACCGTGTTCGACATTGGCGCCACGGAGCTGAGATTCGCTGCTCGCGAGAACTACACCTCCAACGACACCTACTAGACATCGACTCCCTATATCCCAGTTAATCACGTGTATAGTTATGTTGAATGTAGTATGAAAATTCATGTTCACAATAAATACCCTTCTAATACCCTAATCCCTCACAACCGAGCTTTGACCTCCTCCCTCTTCGTTCCCAACTCCTCCAACACCACCCTCGCAGCCCTCGTCCCCTCCTCAATCGCCCCATCAATAAAACTCCTCCACCCCAACGCCCAATCCGAATTCGCAAACACCACACCTCCATGCCTCTCTCTCAACCCATCCAAGCACCCACTCACCATCCCCGGCCTCGAGAAGAACCACGCGCCCTTTGCAAACTCATCCTTCACCCAGTTATGAAACACCAACCGCTTCACCCGAAACGCCCCAGGCGCTAACTCCCCAACTGCCTTCAACGTCTCCCGCACGTCCTCGTCGGGCTGGATATGATTCGCATCGGTCCCGAAACACACCAGATGGGTATTTCCCGCAGGGGTGGTCCCATCACCAATAGCATAGCACAGCTTATTGAACGGGTACGAGATGCCCGTCCACGACCGCATATCCTTATTATCCACTTCGGCATGCACCTTGGTACACATATTCACATGCCCAGCCTGCATAGCAGAGACCTTCTCTGTAGCCAACGCAGGCGAGAAATGGATCGTAGAGAGCACATTAAGCGGAATAGTGCAAACCACCCGCTTAGCAACGAACTCCCTTCCATCCCTCGCCGTCACTCTCACTCCCTTCCCACCTTCGTCATCAACAACACTCCTAACCGGACACTCGAACACATACCCCAACCTCCCCGTCCCCACCGCCTCCTCCCAAAACCTCCTCGCAAACGCACTCTGCCCCTCCGTAAACTTATAACTGATCAAACAATCCATACACCCCTGATACGTATACCCACTCATCGCCCACCAATGCAAGAACTCTCCAAATGAGCTATTCTCCATCCTTCCACCCGAGCAAAGCAATATAAACGCCTCCAGAGAACTCCTCTCATTCAGGCTCAACTCATCCTTGATTTGCTCAATCCGCTCCGCATACGACATCTCATCATATTTCCTAAACTCCGGAACATGGAACATGTCATGCGGGAAGGGGAGGACGGTCCGTCCGTTGGCGCCATCAACGTTGGTGAACTTGTGCAGCGCGGAGCGGAGAAGCTCGTCCTCGGCTTCGTGGGTCATGTAGGTTGATGAGGTGGGGTTGGTGCGCAGTTGGAAGTGGTTGACTCCTCGGCTGAAGTTGAATGAGGGTGATAGCGCGTTGTGCATCTTGTAGCGCGTGATTTCGCGCCATACGTGCGATTGATGCCAGTGGACCCAGGTTCCTCCCATCTGGATTCAGGGTTAGTTTATGTGGGTTGGAGTGGGAAAAGGGAGAGGGTACGTACCTCGTAGGGATAGCCGTCGATGTTGGAGGACCAGGAGCGGCCGCCGATGCGGTCTCGGGCTTCGAGGAGGAGGGTTTTGAAGCCTGCTTCTTTAGTTGATCTACTTTGTGCTATTGCTGTGTGGGTGAGATAGGGTAAGTACCTGCGACTGTCAAATCCCGCGTGGCAGTTAACCCGCAGTATCCACCACCAATGACGATGACGTCCCATGGACCATCTTTATCCGTGTCTCTGATATTGGTAGGTGGTGAGATGACACCTAAAGATGGAACGCCCTGCGTCAGCCCGCTCTCGGGTGTCCACTGGTATCCGTCTCGGGAGGTCATGTTAAAGATGCTGTTGTAAAAGAGGGGGAGAGTGTACTTGGTAGATACTTGCTGAGGGAATTACATCGGGTTCATCATGGGCTTTTATAACACAGTATCGGAATCGATTCCGAAGGAATCCATTGATATCTGGTTCTTGGTTTGTCGAGATTTGACTGTTCTGCCACACAGGATATGGTTCTCACGACCGGTAGAGAAATATTTCCCGATTGGGTTAAAAAAGAGAGATTTGGGTGGGGCTTGACCGTTGTTGGGCTGTACACCGCCTTCAGGATTTTTTTCTTCTCTCAACATTACATTCGGGGTAAGCATTGAGTTGTTGGAAACCAGCTGAATGCTCTCCAAATAGGAACCGTTTTTGAATCGGTATGTAGCACAGGTGCACCGTAGCAACGTTAAAGCTCATGTTCAGTCCTATCTATCATAATGAAACCATAGCACAGTATTCTGCCGGCATAACGCTGCCAGTTTCCCCGCACATGCCACACCGCCATATTGCCGAAGGATGTGGCTTATCTTATCGGCTTATCGGCCTATCGTGTTCCGCATCAGTGGGAGAGAAATTGCCGTTTTCGGGTAATAACGAGAGAAAATACTCACAGGCTGGAGATTATTGATAAAGTAGGTGAAAGTTCGATCAAATATTAGGCAAAGTTAATTTGCTATTGAGTTGGTTATTCTGTAGTGCTCTATCGAGTAGACATGATATCTATGGTAAGTAGGTTTGTCTGAAGATCATGGTCGTGCTTAGCCAAGATATATATTACTTCCCTGCTGCGGCTAGGTATTGAAGGTTAAAATTCTACAATCACTGGACTACTGTACTTGCTAATAGTAGTTCAACTTAAAATGCAGTACGAAAACATTTGTGCTGAAAGTACGTGTGAATTGCGAAAGACGGTTCTCTTTCGGACGCCCTCTATACATGGTAATTCTATTTCTGTTCGCGAAAGAAAAAGGTTCTAGGAAGGCTTCAGTTCAACATCAGCCTTCTGTTCGGCGGAAGAACTCCATAAAGAATGAAACATCAATGTGAGCCTGTCACTGAGTTTTGAGAGGCTATCGTCATTGCTTTCATCATAATACTCAACGGTTTAAGCTCGCTCCGCTCCTGCGCGGCTGTCACGACGAACTGGTTAAACCAAGACACCAAGTCGAGATCAGCTTCTGCATTCTCACACTCGGGAGACCCAATCATATTCATAGAGACTATGAATAGTGGCACAAATTGATGAAGAAGGATAAGACTACAGAGATGAAGCCCCAAAATTAGCATCATGATGTGTAGAATCTTGGTTTGTAACATACCTGATACCCCAATATGGGTGTGTAGAGGAGGACATGATAGACCGGGACATTTGCAGACTCTTTCGTGCAATGTCGACCGTGTGGTATGGTAGAAACTGACTGTCTTGGTTACACTTCTTTGCTTGATAGAAAACAATGAGCATTTTGTAGCTGCTGAATAGAATATCCACACAAAACCAAGTATCCATGCGGTTTGTCGTCGTTGTGAGGAGTTCCTCCTGGAACTTGTCAGTTTCCGGGCTGCTGAAGCTAACTCTTGAAGATTAACGTACCGGCGACCAGTCGGACATGATGGTTTGCACCTCGGCAATGAGACCGTCGATTGTCCTATCGTACTGCGGAGTGTCCACGTCGGGCTCTGCATCAACAAGGTCCAGATACTTTATCAAGACCAACGTGAGACGCATGGAAGCGAAAAAGTGGATTTGTATAAACCGAGTGGATGCGTGATCAACTCCTGTGATACTAGGATCCGGGAAATTCACCGTCCAGGACCCGTCGGTAATGAGCGCCGGTTTACCAAAGGACAGACGGAAGACACAGTCCGTTCGTAGCAAGTGCCAAAATTCAAAGCGCATTCTATTCTTCTCAATTTCGCTTCCAGGGTTAGGGGGACCGCCAGGTCGAACGATCTGCTGGCTAGGGGTTGGTTGGTCGGCATCCACAGAGAAGTACCCAAGAGCTCGGGAAATTTTTACAGATTCGGCAACGATCCTCCAAGAGAGTTCACTGTTGCAAGCTTCAAGAGACATGGACATCTAAGCCCTATTTTAGTTCCTATTTCAGCTGACGAGTATGCAAGGCAGGACGCACCATAAAGAAGGCAGCGAACAAGTCTGCAGGCGTATCCTTAACCTGGGACAGCCAGCTTTCCGTTAAGTCCATACAGGAGCGGCAAAGAAATTCCACGATGGCGCCTCTGTTGTGATAGGGATCCGGGTCTACCAAAAATCCCTGGAAGAGAACATTGTAGTAGACAATTCGTATTGTCGGGTCGAGATGAACATGTGGGTTATCAAGCAGATCTGGGATTGAGAGGATGAACTTTTTTTCAAAGGGAATTCGGAAACCCTCGAACTGGTATGTATCATAATATACTTGAGTTCAAATTAGCACAACGTTGACTCTCCAAGTGTTGTAAGAATGACCGTACATTCGATCCATTTGTGCGCTGTTTCTTTGGTGATGGCGGGAGATGCCTTGGGCTTTTCGGGTTCTACATCCTCCAACTCTGAGATCTCTCGCATGGCGACCTCTATGGCCTGGATGCACCTTTCGTTCCCCCAGAAGCGCGACTCCACTGTCTTGAGGTGACAAAACACATTGGAACTGAGGAGTGACCTCATGTTCTCGTCCTTTAGACCTTTCAAGATAGTCTGAGCTACGCCCTGTGCTGCCGGTAGGGGAGACCCAACACTGCGGGGCAGAGCGCTTTGCGAGGTGTCATTGTCTGAGGTGATAGACATTGAACAAGATGCATCTGCGGGCTGATCTAGATCCGAGTCAATCATACAGTGATCCTCTAGACGCTCCAGTCGTCTAAGGATCTCGGAGAGGATCTCTTTGTCATCTATGAGCCTAGTATGCCGAAAGCTACGTTAGTAGCTTTCCCCATGCTTATAGCCAAGGAGGATAACCTTTTCTTGGCGGAGCGTTGTTTCCGCGGCAGATAAGTGCATTCTGCCCCGACGGCGTCGCATTTGTCGCATCTGGGGTCGATTCTATTGCAACGGATCTAGTCTTCCGTCAGATGGTGCATTGCTTGAACGTGCGGCTGAATCGATACCTTCTTTTGCTGACAGCGGCGGCACTAACATGTTGTCAGTTTAATGACGACCTCAGACTAGCTGCAGGAATCACTAGATTCAGCCTACCGAAATAGGCTTGCGGGAGCTCATCCTCAAGCAGTGGATCCGCGATTAGGTTGAATGATGAGATTGTGTTGCAAGGGATGAAGAATGGCAGCGGGAAGTTGAAGAGTCCGAAAGTCCGGGCGACAATGTGGCAGCCTGCTTTGACCACCCGGGATTAGGAAATCCCCGC